TGAGTTATGGGAGAATTTTTTTTATTGGTGTTGAACCTTGGCAATGTTCTAACAATGTTTTAGCTCCTGACTACCAAGAACAATTTTTATTCACTTGGCACTCAGTCATCAGAGTATTCATACAGAATTACCTTTGCAGTTCCATTTTTGGTTCTGGGATGATATCTTGAGGATTGTTCTGTTATCATGCCCACCCATTATTAAAATATTTTGTTGCATACATTATATAAATGGTAAACTTTGAGTATTTTATATTTTAGAAAGCATCTAAGTGCATACAAGTTCATATAAAGGAATAAGAACTGGAAAAGAACTCTTGTTCCATTTTAAATTTTTTTTTATTTCATTTTACATTCCAACCACAGGTCCCCCCCCCAACCCCTCCTCCCACCACTCCTCTCCTCTTCTCACTCCCTCTCCTCCTATCATCTCTCCTCCTCCCACACCACCTCACCTTCTCCCACACCCCCTCACCTCCTACCCCCTAGCCCACCCCTGCCCACTCCCATGAGGAGTGAACATAGTCTGGCACAATAGTGACAAAAGCAAGGCAGATGTGGTTGTAAAATCTGGGAGAGTATTACAGTCAAATAAGGAAAATCATGTAATGGTATTTAGAAAATTCCCCAACAGCTGTACAAGCAGATCTAAACAAGCTGCAAATGTTCTTAGGGATCCTAAGTTGTACACAAATTTTCATACTCCAGTTTACATCAGTTGCACTTCCTTTTAGTCTTAAGTTTCTATCGTTATGCTGAAACACCATGATACCTGGATGCAAGGGGATGAAACAATAACTGGTAGGCTTGAGTTTAACAAAAGCCTGGATGTAAGCATTTCAAGAGACTTGGCGTATAACACTCTGTACTGAGTTGTGTTGTATTAAAAGACCTGATTTTATGAATAGCCTATCTGAGACAGAGAACTGGTAGGTAGGTGCTGGTCAACTACTATGGGGACAACAGATGTGGAAGGAAATATATAATAGAACAGGAATTAGAGAGCCTGATACTTTCCATATAGTAATCTACATACAATTGAGTGTTCTTAAGAGTCAAGAAACAAATTTTTCTTGTCAAAATATAGGCCACTTGCCCTCAGATACCACTGTAAGATGGTCACTGATTTAATATAAAGTCTGGTGACATGGATGCCAGGCATGGCATTTTACTAATGCTCTCCTGTCTTGAGGTTTATTCATTCTAACAAATGACATTTAAATTACACTTCACTCAAGTATTCAGCATATGACTGTGGGACAACACAATGATGTTTGACATAATTACTCAACCAGATTCTTACTTTTGGAAAGATGTAAATTGAAAATAGATGAAACACTTCATATAGTGCTTGATAAACAAATGCTACAATATTGGGGTTAAAAAAACAAACAACCATGTTATGACATACAATTTCATGACATCCTATTGAATATTATTCAACATTTTCAGAGCAATTTTAAATAAAAGATCTTAGAATTTGTTTCAAGTATGATTCAGCTCTATAATATTTCATTTTCATTGTGAAAATTGACATGTTATTTTTCAGAGTACCTAATATGCTAGTGATATATTAAATATTTCTAGAAGTTGCTAATACCATAACTGCTACAAAGTAAGAAAAACTTTGTTTGTGAATATATGTTTAAATATACAAATAAATAAATAAATTAGCACATTTTTATGCGACATACAACAAATAACTTCTGCAAAGCTCAGAGACTCCAATAGTAAAAAGAAGATATATCTACCTGAATGAGCTTGCACAGAAAAGAGGAGGACAACAGAACACATAATTAATATTATAAAGCCATTACATACAATCATAGTCGATATTTATATTGTATAGTGTTGTGCTTGAAGAGTTACATAAGAATTCTGGCAAAGAGGAGTGAACAAATGGGCTCAAAAATGGGCACAGTTGAGGAAATATGAAACACACAACTCACAGCTGTGTCTACTTTACTTCTTCAATATTTCAGCAGGCTTCACATAGAACTTTTGTAACATTAGTCACGAGCAGCATTAGAACCTACTCAGTAAAGGCAATTAGCAAAATCCACAGCTTCATCATGGAATTCCCTTTGCTGTCTTTGTAGTGGAAGGTAATTTTATTTATAAACCTAAAACTTCAAGCTTTCCCAGTAAAGTAGAAACATCCATTTCCTATCAACTCCTGTATTAATGCACTTCATAGCCTTGTTATTAAAAAAGTGCATCAAAATCCATTACCTACTTTGAAAAATCTAAACCATGAACTGATATAAACTACTGTTTCAGCTAAGCATTTTCCCCCCAAATGTTTCTGCCCACAAGGTTTTTAAACTGAATTTACACTTCTAGAATTAAGTTACAAGTAAGCTTAGAATAGTGGTATTATTTGAGAAGTTGGTAATTCCTGAATATGAAACATCAGATTGTGAAGGCCTTCAATTATAAATTACTGACCTACTTAAAATTAATTTGTGTAATACTAACATTAATATATGACTAATATTGAAATCTGTCATGAGTTAGCACACCCCTGCAATGTCTACAAAGGCTCCCAAAAGACAGGCAGTTATTGAAATGTATTTTTATTCCATAAAGAAAACAATTTTCCAACAGCTATTGTACATTATAAAAAGCAAAAGTGTCTTCCCCTAGTCCAGGTCTTTTACAAGTAGCAATCATCCACTAAAACCAAAGATGTTGGTGATAAAGCCTTTGAATAGGCACAAATGGTCACTTCAAACCATAAAGAGAGTATTAAAAGTCACTCTGCATATAAAACAAAGCAAAGGACAGGAAGCAACCTAAATTCAGTTTCCAATACCTAAACATTTAATTAATAGTAGATAACAAGTGTATATGGCATTACAATTATTTTAGGAAATATTTTAACCATGATGTGTGTATGAGATGAGGAATATTCAGCTCAGGCATGTTTCTTTGAGGAAAGCAAAATCTGCTGCCCCCCCCCCCCCCACTTAGAAACACACCACCACAGTTTGGCAAATTCACCAAATACATCTTTCACATACTTGTTACACTAAAATCGAACAGGATTGTATTGCTTTACAGGGAGCGTGAAAAGCAATGGTAATTTAGTTCTGTCTAGTTGTTCTTACCCTCTTTACAAGTTTTTTTCATAGCAAGTAGCATAAACCAGCATAATATATGCTATGTATTCACCACTCTCACTTCCAACATTCCTATCACCCTAGCACACCCTACTTCATCTCTACACATCTATCTTTCTCATATTCATGTGTATTTACTTTGTCTGGTAACCCACAAAAATTGATCAAAGACATCTCAGGTGATTATCAGTTAACCATTAAAGCCTGGTAGGATCAACAATATGCATACAGTTAAAGCCAGCAATTCCTTTTGTACTAGAATCTATCTCTAGTCAATAGATGAGAGTAAAAGTAGGGCTCTTTGAACTCTTCCCTATCTTTCTCTGATTATCTGGTCTAGTGTGGACCCATTGAAGATGATGCAGTAGTTGTATATGTCTGAAGAGCATCTTTTTATATCCATTCATCCTATCTGCTGACACTTACATAGTTCCTGCCTCTTCTCCCTCAATGTGCCCTGAGCCTTAGAGGAGTGACATAAATTACTTATCTAAGGTCATACCAATAACCAGTGCATATTCTCTGCATCTTGTACACTCGTGAGTCTCCATTTTATCACTATCCAATGTGAGAAGTGGCTTCTCTGATTAAAGCTGGAAGCTGGTTTTGTTAATAAGCATGGGTATTTAGGAGGCAGTCTGCTATGTCAAGTTAGTTAACTATCAAAATTATGCTAAATGCACAGAACTAATACCTAATAACAACTGGGGTTGTTGTCATGCTTACAGTATTAGGCATTGTAGGATATTCATCACAGCCAGTGTCTGGTACCAAAGAAAAGAACTTCTATTTCTGCATTATTTTTTTTCAAGAATTCCTTTTGATTAATGCAGTAATAGTTATAACTCACCATCAAAAATCCTTAGTTTGTTCTGTATTTTTCATTTAATGCAAAAGGTTCCACATTAACTAATATCTCTGAAAATTCTTTTGATGTATATTCATCATGACAGTAAGTTCTCTAGCAAAGCTTTATGAACAGTAGAGGGTAATCACAATAAAGCTCTGCAGAGCAACAAAAATGAGAAGTAATTCCTGTTGAGTTTTCATTAATGATTCTCCATGCTAAGATCCTTTATTTGTTGTTTATGTATCCCTTTTACCTGTGCCCTATTCATTTGATATTCTCCTAAAACCATATTATTGCAACAAGAAGACATGTAAAATACTCAAGAGCTTTCTGCAAATGAGTCAGTCGTCTTGTCATTTGCCAGCTACATTGCTACAACAATCATGCTATTTACCAATGGAAAAAAACTATCAAAATGTCCTCTTGAAGAAACACTGAGGAAACAAAATCCCTCTCTTGCATTTTCTATACCAGGCAGAAAAAAGTAACATGTTTCAAGACATCAATTTTGTGAAATAAAAACTAACAAATTAGTATAGAAATAAAGTATGGTAGAATAGATAGAATTTGAAAATAAGAATATAATATATGATTCTGTTACCTTTATCCTCAGCACTGTGTGGCTTATTAATATAACAACTTAAGAATCAACATAATATAATAAATATATATTAATGATGTCTAAAACATGATTTTATCTTCAAATGAATTGTCTGTATTCTAAAAGGAATCCAAGTAACATAGTATTGTTTTAAACAATAACGAGAATCATCCACTACTTCCAAGGATAATGTTTATATGAAAAAAGAAAAAGTAAAATAAAGTCTGGACTATTATTAAGAGAAGAAAAATAGCTAAGGAAGATATTCTATCAAGGATAAGGAAACAAAAAAAACTATAAAGTAAAAACTAAAAATAAGAAACCTCCAGTTTTCCTTTACACAATAAAAAAAAATATCTGATACACAAGATCGTTACAATCAAACACAGAAATTCTGTGTTATAACTATAAACAAACAGAAAATCTGATTAAAAGATTTTCTTGCTCAGAGTGTTTCTTAATGCAGCTTTAACATCTTTGTTCCTCAAGCTATAAATTAATGGATTCAGCATGGGGATTACAGTGGTATAAATAATTGAAGATGCTTTTCCATTATTCCTTGGTCCAACTGAGTTGGGCTTGAGATACATAAATGCACCAGATCCAAAGAACAGAGAGACAGCAATTATATGGGAACTGCAAGTGCTGAAGGCTTTTGATCTGCCCTCAGTGGACCTCATTTGGAATATACTGGAAAGGACAAAGCCATAAGAGATAAAGATGATGACAGTGGGCACAATGATGTCTTTTCCTGCTACAATGAAAATTTCTATCTTGTTAACATAGGTGTTGGTGCATGAAAGTTGTAGCAAAGGGAGGGCATCACAGAAATAGTGGTTGATGGTGTTTCCATCACAGAAGGTCAGTCTCAGGACATATCCAGTGTGGATCATAGCACTAGAAAACCCCATGAAGTATGAAGCAAGCATAAGATAGGAACACACCTTGGGAGACATGGCAGCATTATACAAGAGTGGATTGCAGATGGCCACATAGCGATCATAGGCCATTGATGTCAGGACATAACACTCAGAAATTACACAAAAACAAAATAAATAAAACTGGGTCATACATCCAACATAGGAGATGAAATTTTCTTTTAATATGAAGTTCATTAGCATTTTTGGTGTAATTACAGAAGAGTAACAAAAGTCTACAAAGGACAAGTTAGAAAGGAAAAAATACATGGGGGTGTGAAGGTGAGAATTCAGCACAATGAGAATAATTAAAGCCAAGTTCCCCAGTGCTGTTATCATGTACATTACTAGAAAGAGCAGAAACAGGGGTATTTGGAAGTTAGGCTGGCCTGTTAACCCCAAGAGAATGAATTCAGTTACCACAGAGTCATTTGCCACAGCCATTGTTTTATAAGACATCCTGTGAAACAAACAAAAAACAAAACGGTGATATTAGAGGATCATGCAAGACTTGCCACGATTGTTTGACAGAACAGAGAGCAGGGCTGTCAAATCCTACGATGCCTGCAATAGAAGTCAAGGGGAAAGGGAGAAGTGGGTTGCTCATAACAACCTTGCCCTTATCTCATCTCACTATTTCTTTTTGTTTCATCTCCTCCCTGATACAAATAGAAGATGATTTTTCAATTCATCCAAACCGAATTCTTGTGAATTAGAACTATGATGAACCCTACATTAAATATAAAACAATAGAACCAGAATGTAGGAATGGTGAGAATTATGCTGCAGTAGCATTAGATTTCATGTGAGAACTGTACATGCAAAGTGAACTTGCTAATCTAAGCTTCACAACACACTATTTCCCAATGAATCAAAAGGATCATATACCAATTACCTCTACTGAAAGTTAATTCACAATTAATTGAAAAAGAAATTACACACACACATATACATATGTATGTATGTTATATATATATATTACGCACATACATATACACATATGTGTGTGTGTGTGAGTGTGTGAGAGAGAGTGTTTGTATTGTGTATCTTAAAGGGAAACTCACTCTCTCTCTCTCTCTCTCTCTCTCTATATATATATATATATATATATATATATATATATATATTTGTTTTAAAGACCAAGACCAAGAAAGTAATATTACTGCTTACAAAGCTTATCTATTACTTATCACTGTTGTTTGCTGCTGAGGCCCTTGATGAGCAATTTCAGGCTCTGTGTCCTTTACTCTAAGAGCTTGTGTCACAACAAATACTCTAACTCTCCAAACTTGCTCATAGTTTTCAATGGTAAACCTTAATCCACTAAATCATTAGAGAAAAATGAACATATTGTCTACTATTATACTAGCCACTGAACAAGCATACACTTCAGATGAGTTAAGTAATATAATACACTTGGCTATATGCAAAGTAGAGGCTTACTCAGTATCTTCCCAGAAACAGACAGCAGTTATAAAGAGAGAATGAGCTGGCAGCACTTTCATGCTATGCCATAATGGCTAATTCATATCTTGGGGATTTGAGTCATGCACACATTTCTCTACAGGGATTTTACATTTTCTGTGCTTGAGCCAACTCTGAATTCTCAGCATCCAATCACTTCCATCTCTTCAGGGACAGCTATTATTTTGGTTCTTTTTCTCATGGATTACAGTGTCTACTGATAATCATACATACAAGCCCCTAACAATTTGATGCAAAATATATCAATGAATATAGTAATACAGTTCAGGTAATATCTCTTACAGCATTTCTCTCAAATCATTACTTTTTTTTTTTAATTGGGACCCCTGGAAGTGGATCTAAGTACTTCATACTGTTCAAGTGCTTGTGGCAAACTAATTTTCTCAACCTTCAAAATCACAGTAATATGTTGTATAATTTCTAAGATTTAACACTTTCTATAAATTCCCATGTCTGCCTTACCCTTCTTAAACACAACACATTAGTGATTGACTTAGCATTTTCTACACCTGTTGTAGAGCACAATGAGGACTAAAAATTTAAAAGGTCTGTACTTTATTTCTCTCTCATCTACTTCCTTACTGTGTTTTTAGATGTTATTGAACATCTCTATGTCTCAGGTTTTGCTTTGTAAAATAGGAATTGTCAATGTAGAAAATCTTCCATTGGTATGTTTTATTGATTTGGAAAAATAAGGGGAAAGAGATAAATCCCTGCCTATGGGAAATAGTGAAATATTATCTGAGTATATGTGCTCTTGGTCTTATAAAAAGTCTCTGTGCATATTAATTAATTATTATTTTATAATATCCTAAATTGAAAAAACTTTTAAAATGCAATTTAACAATGGGCTTATCAACAACGCAGTGATTACTGGTTTAAAGATGTGTTTGAAAGCAGCTTCATGTTGGAACTATCTATAAATACTAAATACCAGAAATGGATGTTGCATTAGTATTAGTTATACAAGTGAGACTCATTTTAAAACATACTCACATCTACTAAATTGTAGAATATATATGGAAAAATATCATCCTATGTTTTAGATGTATGTATTTGTTATTCAAAAAGCCTGTTGTGAGTCAGAACCTCATGTTATCATATTAATATTGCATATGGTTTACATATGGGCATCTACATTCTGTCAATTCTCAGTATATTGAATCAAACATTTAAAAATTCTGTTAAGCCAATAAAAAAAAAGCTCATTATTCCAGCTCTCAGGAGGTTAAGGTCTGAAGGTCATGATTTCCAGGCCAGTTTATCTTGTTTAACAATTATATCTTTCAACTAGTGTTCAACATAGGTAGCAATAAAACTCCCTGATGCTGGAAATAGAACCCAACTATGTTACTGGCCTGGACCAGCAGGTTGTTGTTCAGTGATAGTTGCTGAGGGGGAGAACCATACGATGAAAATAATATATATATATATATATATATATATATATATATATATATATATATATAATTTTTCCTCAATTTGACTGTCTCCTTTTTCAATGATTGTTTTTATATGCACAAATATATATGTCTATGCATAAATATTCCTAAGTACAACTAGGTCAATACGTCTAATGTTACTTTATATTTTCTGGGATGACAATTAGAAAGTGGATAACTAATTTGTGTGCTCTACTCTGAAAAAAAAACCTATTTCTTCCATTTGCAGCATTCTTTAGTTATATATATTGTGAACTTTTTCCTATTTAATTTACACTTTAGGAATTTATCTTGTGTAGAGTGTTATGAAAATTAATGTATATATCTTGGTCTTAGTGTATCTATGTTGTAAACAAGATATAACTGATAGCATTTAAATATTAAAAAATTCTAAAACACTATAAATTTTTGCCTATGTTATATTTAGAAGTTTTTTAAAATCTGTTTAAATATGTAAATGAGTGAATGAATAAATATATATTTCCTCATGGCATAATCAATAAATTCCTCCTTCAGAGCTCAGCAACTCAAAAAGTAAGAAGCTCCCTATAACTGAATGTGCTTGCACAGTTAAGAAGCAGAGACACAGAACATATGATTATGCTATATACCCATTGAATAAAAACAGGATTTGAAATCAGTGTGTGTATTCATGTTGTGTCTGCAACTTAGAATGACAGTTCAGACAAATATAAATGAGTTAATCTTAGATTAATTGTTGAGAAAATTAAAGAAAATAATGCTGAACACACTGTAATTCCTGTTCTGACTTCATCAGTCTTCCTGCAGAGAACAAGTCCTCATAGCCATTGCAATCAACACTGGCTCTGACTAGCAGTAGCAGATTGCTTAGATAAGTGTTCAATTCATTAAATTCAGTGTTTCACCAGGAAACTTTCTTTGCTGCCTTTTTATGGGAGACTTTAAAATTTAATTATTTCCCACTAAAGTAGGATTATCAGTTTCCTAATACTCTGGCCCAAAGTAGATTCCATGGATCCAGAATAACTCATAGTTGTAACAACATCAGTAAAATTATCTCTTTTCTCATATATATTCTGTGGTCATTTGTACAATATTCAAACAAATACAACCTTTGCTTTAAAACAATTGACAGACTAGACAGGTGTAAGATACAAGACCTCAAATCTGCACAATGAGTTACAGGCAACTAAACAATGTTAAGAGCAGAAACCCTGAAAGCATACATTCAATTAACACTACATAGACATAACAGATTGCAATTAGGAATATAAAAGTATATTCATCTACATATGTGGATGTAACAATAATTAATGAGAATCATGACATGAATTATACACAGCAAGGAAGGATATATAAAAGGGTCTGGAGAGATGAAAGGGATGTGGGAAAGAATACGATATGGGATTACACTATAATCTCAAAAAATAAAATATGTTTAAAAACATCATTTGTTTTAAATTTGCAAGACTAGGAAATTGTTGTAAAATATGACACTTGAATGAATGTTTTTTGGAGAAATACAAATACATGAATAAAAATTAATTTAAGTGCTAAATCAAGTAAATTGTTTCCCTCAAACTTTTCTCCATTTGATATTTACAAAGAACATTTGTACTTTTAAAGGTTAATTTTATTAAAAAAACTGGAAATATGGAACAAAATTATAGAATGACTTGATCTCTGGAAAACGCAATTGACTCTGTTGGGCATTTTTCATTTTTGTATTCTGTATTTTAAAAAGAGAATAATACTTAAGCTCACTTTTGGTAACTGAATAATAATGAAATCCATTAAGAGTTGCCCCTGTGATTAGTGTTGCAAGGGTCTTGATGACTGTACACATATTATTTTCTTGTTAAAATGTACTTTTATTCAACCAAGTAAGCAATTTTATCAAAAGCATCATATATAAAAACAAAACACAACAACAACAAAAAAACTGCTCCCAAGTCAACTGATTTGCAAATGTACTAAACTTGAAAGAACAGACACTTTGGTTGATCTTAGCTAAAATGGCAAGAAGCTTTAACCTTAAGTATTACCATAACTCCTCCAATAAAAACTCAGCATACAGGAGGAGCCATTCAATGGAAGCAAGCCACTACTGATGTACTCCTTAAAATTAGCCATTCTTGATATTTGAATTGATTATCATCAATTTTATAAAACTGAAAGTAATTGAAAACTGTACAAGCTGCTATGATGACAAAAGGAGCAACTTATTGTGGAATGGCATCAAATCAGTATTTCTTGGTTCAGTCATGTTTTTGTCTATAGTTTTGTTTGTTTTTCTTTGGTTTGGTTTGCTTTTCTGTTTTGGTTTGGCCCATGGGAAAACTGTTTGGTTTATTTGGGTTTGGTTTGCTTTTCTTTGCTTTGGCTTTGGTTTTATCCATCAGAAACATTAACACTTATCCCCTTTAATTTATATTAGTTTATCAGGGAAAGCTTAACCAAAGCTTCATCAACATTTAAGTGGAGTTAAGATGGTTAAAACTCTATATAGCAAAATAAAAACAGATAAACCTTCTGTGCAATTTTAATGGA